CTCGTAAAATTACGCAAAATTACGGTAATTTGCTAACCTACTTCAAGCAAAATTAAGTAAATTTCGGGTAAAATTAAACCAGTGTTAAAATTATTGTTATTAATAGTAGTATGTAACATTCTTATTATGTAATAAAATGTAAACTGATCATTCTTGCGTATTTAGATCGTGTCCTATGAATAATTCGGGCCACTTTTAAAGCTCGCTTAGCAATTTAGCATCTGGACAAATATTAAATTAAGATTCAAATAATACTGCATTCTAACGAATTGTTATAAATAATTCACTTTCTAAACTTTATATTATAATTTTCCTTATTTATAAACCTAAGATTTTTGTTAAAAATTAGGTTTGATCTAATATATCATTTTTCATTAAAAATAAAGTTATCAAATTCGTTGAACAACCACGAAAAGATAACGCTAAATTGTCTATCTTCTGATCTGACGATGTTTCAATTGTTTTCACACTGTCCTAAGGAGAGATCTATAAGAGAGGATATTACTGAATTAAAGCGCCAAAAGTGTAATAAATATGAGCAAATACGACGTGCAAAAATTAATGATTTATTAAAAAAGCTCAATGACCAACTATCAATATATAAGATGAGTAAAGTTGAAATATTAAAAGAAGGCAAGCATTCTTTTTTATGATTAGATTAACTAAGTTATGATTTGCTAATTTTATTCATTACATTTTCAGCGCTTGTAAAAATTGAATCATTAACAAATGAGAACAAACAACTAGAAAATAAAATCGGATATTTAAGCAAAATTTGTCAAATTCAATCGAGTAAAATCACTCGTTTATTGAATGAAAATAATTTAATAATGAACCAGATTTGTCAAATTCAATCAAGTCAGAACCAGTTTGAAATTTGTCAAATAACATATCAATATCGATATTATAATTAATAATTTACCGTAACTTTACGTTTCAAACAGTTTAGAACTTATGTTCCTGCGAACCATTAAAAATGCAGGAAGAAAAATCTAAATATGAACAAAATTTTATATTAGTATTTTTAATATTTCATAGTTCTCGATTTGTATTTGTGTTAAGCTAGAAATTTTAATTTTTATTCTTAAAATCTACATGGTCCCTTAAGGTCATTTGCAAAGACCCCAAATGTTTATTTTTATCAAAATTTAAAACAAATAATCCAATAATTTAAATAGATACAAAGGATATAATGTTTATAAATCAAACTCTGAATTTTCTTAATTTAAATTTAAATTAAATAATATTAGATTTCTCATGTAATAATAGCCTACCAGATGTTAGAAATCAAATTAAATTATTAAAAATTGAACAATTAAATATAAGGTTAATTAGTACATAGAATTTATGATACAATTTCTACAATATTATTACACCGCCATATTTGTTGTACAAAGCGATAAAATTTTTATTTTAAAGAGTAGGGTGAACGTAAATCATTAATGAAAAAAAAACAGATATGCTACCGCTAAAATCCACCTTGGTATATTTATAAATGTTTCTGATTACTAATAAAAACAATCTACGTTCACCCCACCCTTTTTTATGTTTTTTTTTGTTTTTTGTTTTGATTTTTTTTTTTTTTTTTTTTTTCAAATCTTTTTATGAAAATATCCTTAACGAAAATAGAGAGGGAGAGAGGAAGGAGGGAAAGAGGGAGAAAAAGAGCGACAAATGACTTTTAAAATCATACTGGCATAAAAAAAAAAAAAAGGATATTTTTATAAAATCATAAGACGAAAGCGAGAAAGTAAAAGACGAAACAGTTTTATAGATATTTAATAGGGTTAGGGTTATATAATAAATATAAATATAATAATTATAAATATAAACCGCAAAATTACGTAAAATTTCTGTAGGATCTGGTTAGCCTTGAGCGTGTAGGGGACCGGAATCGCACCAATAATCATAAAAATTGCTTGTTGGGGGGGGGGGGACCGGAATCGCACCAAAAAAAACGGAATAATCATAAAAATTGCTTGTTGGGGGGTATTGCGTGTAGGGGACCGGAATCGCACCAAAAAGAACGGATTTGCTTGTTTGGCCGGAGTCGCATCAAAAAGAACGGGATAATCATAAAATTTGCTTATTGGGAGGTAAACCAGCTCTCGAATCAGCTTTCGAATCCGAATCAGCTCTCTATTTAGAAGCTCTCGAATCAGCTCTCGAATCCGAATCAGCTCTCTCTGAAACAGCTTTCTCTCTTGAAACAACAGCCCTTGAATCCGCACACACTCTAGAAGCAGCTCTAGCTCTAGCTCTCTCTCTCTCTCTAGAAGCAGCTCTAGCTCTCTCTCTCTCTCCCACCTGCGGAGTTTATTTAAAATCTTTATTTCCTGAAAATAAGTATCAAATTTTGTAACCGTTAAGTAGATAATCATTCAACGATTAGTTGTTCGAAAGTTTTAAATCGACTAGCCGCAAATTTCGAATCACTAGGTCAAACTTCATAAATTTGTAATGACTCTTACCACATAAATATCCTTTTCAAAACCACTGTAGTTATCCATTTCTCTGCTTCTCCATTCTTCTAGGTTGCTATTCTCTGCTAGCCACGAAAACATTGCCATATTTTACATGAAAGCGAATTTGTATAGTATTAATAAAATTTCAAGATTATTTATCGTTGTAGATTTTTTTCCTGTTACAGTATATAGAAAAAAGAAACAAAAAAAAAGAATATCTAACCTTTTTATAAAAGTTAATATTAACTTTGTGCAGCCTGAACTCTATATATTTACAACAAATCAGTGATGGTAACAGTAAGGCAATGGATTGATACACGAAATGCAGATTATGATCGTTAACGTTCTACATGGAAAGATTTTTGGTGCTACAGAAAAGGGGGAAATCAACAAAATTTTCATTCAAGTTGACTTACGCAGTAAGTCAACATAAGTAGATCTGAATTAGTTGCCTAATTTATAACTGCAATGGAATACTAACAATATCTTCATTGTCTAGGTCAAAT